AAAAACAATAGAAAGGTACAAACTAAGAATTTAACTTGTTTTTCCTTATATACATATTATTAGAACACTGTTTATGTTTTCTTGCTTTATTATGAATAATAAATAAAAGTACTTCAGCGCTATCTAGCAAAATAACGCGCAAAGCAAGTTTTCGCCCTGATTAGTAGGGACATATTACTTGAAGAAACGAGTGTAGCATATATGTTATTTATGTAAAGATGACTTGCACGCAGAGTTTGCCTCAAAGATCGGTTTTTTCCTTAGCGTCATAGACCACAGAGTTACATTCCATGTGCAAGGATGAAAGGCATGGTCTACAGAAATTCACCTGGACAGCCTTAGCAAGAGACCAAAATCCACGAGTTCCGTAAGGAAGATTCACCAGTCGCTAACTTTCTCTCCGGCTTACATTTAAGAGACCTTGTACTAATAGCCGGGGAACCAGGTATACCCTAGAAAGGAAGTCCCTGGTGCCCCGACATACCTCGGGCCATCTACAGACGAACCTCTCCCGGTCCCGCTCCGCCGTCTCCTTCACGAGCATAACTTGCTCGCAGAAGGAGACGGCAGAGTTCCACGCACTCTCGCTCCGCATGATAGCCGCAATCAGGCTATCGAGCGAGAGAACTTCCATTCCGATGGCCGCCACGAGGTCTTGCCTCTGCTCAACCCACGCCAGGCACTCTGCCAGCGTGTGGAGAGCCGTGTCCACGGTCTGGAGATCGCAGTGGTGGCACTCAGGCGTTGGCTCCTTGCGGATCAGACACAGGTGATCCCCGAAACATCCTTTCCCAGTGATCACCTGCGTCAGTCGGTATGAGAGGGTCCCGTGACGCCTCTCGAGCCAATCCTCCATAACGGGTCTTACCTACATTTAAGAGACCTGGAGTTAAATTGCTTTTTTAATGTTCTGGTGTTTGTTTAGTGTGCTAACATCACCTACTGTCACTGCCCATGCTGGTAATATTGTTGCTTTGGGCGAGGGCATGTTTAGTAGCATCTGCAGTGCTATTCTCTAAAGAAACAGGGCAGAAATGTGACAGCGCTGTAGCGTCGAATTTCAAACGAACTTAGAAGAAAACAATGTTTAAATTTGCCATCAATTTGAATGAGGACGGAATGAAAATCTCCATACTCTGAAGTCCTTCATCAGGGACAGAATCGGCAATGACGTGAGAAGCATCCGGCATGAAGCAAACCTGCCTTCAGGGGTAGGCCCAACGACGCAAGGAGAGATCGCATTCTATCCCAGTTCACACGACCACACATGGCGACAGCTTGCAATACACAGCCACGGCAAGCACTGTGTCGCCTTGCTCAGGATCAGGCAATATAATATGGGTTGCTTCTAGATACCAAAAGATTTAATATTACTTACGATTAATACGATACAATGTTATTTTTCTACTCTGTATGGTTTCCTAACATGAATAAAAATTTTCCCAAGTTTACTTTAAACATATTGATAATATACACTCTAATATTAGTGCCAGGCCGCACCTAAGTACTTACGTAGCTTTATTTTCAGTCCATCGTGATGGCTGTTTTATATCCCCGTTGGTTATTTGACCTAAATTTACGACCTCATTAATACGATGTTAGACGCCATTATCTTAACTTCCACGATGGGTGGCATGCTATTTTGTATCTATGAACCTTTCTACTTATAAATTAAGTTTCTCCAATAAATATCTCAGAAGTAGGTAGGCTCTTTTAATCATAGAAATAAGCTATTTGAAAACCATTAGACTTGCGATGTAACTAGGTTTTTATTAGACAGCGGATGCTAAATTTTAAAACAACGGCGATTATTAAATAACTGAAACCTGTAAGGTGAACTCTCCCACTTTCCCCCGAAAATACCTTTCCAAGTAGGTACCTTTCCAAATGGGTACATTTGGTTGAGATTATATGTAGCTCTATAGAAAACATATTTCTATTTAATAGAAAATCAAACATATATGTAATAAATTATTACACATATGATATTGAGCTTGTCTTCTATCACTTAACTAAACAAAACGGCGCATGTATTGTACTGCTAGCTTTTGCTTTCGGCTCCGCCCGCGTGTCGGTTATTGCGGTTAAAAGTAACCTATGATTACTCGCTGATAATGTAGCTTTCCATTGTTGAAATTTAAAAAAAAATCGGTTTAGTAGTTTAGGCGTGAAAGCGTAACAAAGAAACAAATTCACTTTCACAATTATATATTTATACTTATATTAAGTTTAGATAAGTAGGTAGGTATGGATTAGAAAATAGTTTTATCATAAAATTTTGCAAACATGTTTACAGAAAAATCATGTGCTCCCGAGGTATTTTTAATCTATTCGCGTATATTTAGTAAGCATAAGCCATTATTATTTAGTAAGTCTACCATACTCAATGATTAAATGACTGCGTTTTGAATAGGTTTTTACTACCTACCTTTCTTAACTAATCTTGTTGTACCTATACTTTAAGATTCATGCTGAAAATACTTTATGAAAAAGAGTAAGTTTACATTAGTGCACATGGCTAATGAAATACCAGGCCAGTATTACAAAGTACCTGAGATTTTAATGAACTGTTACTAGTCAAACTAATAACGTTAAATGGTTTTGAAACAACAATAACGTTCAAATTAGTGACGAATCATGCCGCGTTGTTATTTTTAATTTCTCTAGTACCTAATAGTTCAAGGAGAAGACGTCTGAGCTGGGTGGCATATGGGAAGCTAAGTCATATATTCGAGTGGCCGGTTGAATCGCTAAAAACCAAGGCATACGGAGCCGAGTCGTGGACACTCACTATTGAACTGGGGCACAAGTTTAAAGTCGCTCAGCTTGCGATGCAGCGTGTAATGCTAGGTGTTTCTCTAGTTGATAAAATTCGAAATTAAACTATTCGATAGAGAACTAGAGTAACTAAGTGTGTGAGAAAGAAATGAAAGTGGGTCGGTCATGTCTCCGGGTGGACAAATGGTCGCTGGAGACAGGGAATAGAGACAGGGATTGGGCGAACGTAGTGTAGAGCGCCCTGTGGCTCGATGGACCGACGACTTGAGGAAAGTGGCTAACAGCAGATGGATGCTGAGTGCCTTAGACCGGGATATTTGGTGGTCCTTGGAGGCCTTCGTTCAGCAGTGAACGGCGATAGGCTGATGATGATTTCATTTGACGACTATACACTCAGTGTACTCGTATTGTCATTGACGTAACCTACTTATGTAGCAAAATTATACAAGTTTGTCCTAATAGAGCGGACCCGAAAATATAATAATATAAAGATGGTACAGTGAAGATCCTAAATTTTTACAATGCGCTTCTTGTAGCTTGGAACTACGAATTACGTAGGTACCCACGTCGTTTTTTGTATGTTTAAACTATAATAAGTCTGACAGTTCTTTTTTACAAATGATTATAATTTATCTCAATGATAAGGTACGCAACAAGACAATTTGGTTAGTAGCCGAATGGTTTGCTTACCAACCGTTAATTCTTTAAAGAATACAATACAAATAAAAAAAAAAAAAAAATTAAAATATAAATTAAATTAAAATGAACTAAGCTTTGATTTATTTAATCCATACTAATGTAATAAACGCGAAAGGGGTCTGTCTTTCTTTCTGTCTGCCTGTTACCTCTTCACGCTTTAACCACTGAACCGATTTAAAGGAAATTTGGTATAGAGATAGTCGCGAGTCCCGGGAAAGCACATATTTTTAATCCCAGAAATCGTCCTTTAAGGGGGTCTTAGGTGAAAAGGGGGGTGGAAGTTTGTATAAGGAATCAATAACCGCTGAACCGATTTACATGAAATTTGGCATGGACATACTTTCATTCTTGAGGAAAGACAGGCTACCTTCTTTTTACAGCGATAATCGGCATTTACGCCGTTTGCATTAGCTAGTTTTAAATATAAAAGGCTTGTTTTATACTATACTACAGTAATACAATTAGTGACCCGCGGATAGGTCCGCGTGTATGTCGGTAATTGCCTGTTACTGACTGAAAATGAAACTCCATCTGGGAAAGAATTTGATGCAGTGGTTTTGGAGCCTATTCATTACAAACAAACAAAAATCTAATATTTCTCCTTTATAATATTAGTATAAATTTTTGAATTAAATCTAATTATTTGTCCCACAGGTCTATATTAAATATTTAGTGACCGACCGAAGGTTTGGTTTCGGTTTCGGTTTCAGCCAGTTTCGGCCAAGAAATACAGTTTTGGTGCCAGTTTCGGTTTACTTTGCCGCTTACTCGTGTACCGTGTACACTCAATTCGCCGCCGTCCATTGCGTCCGTTTGGTGGATGGGGACAAGCGAGCAAACGGGTGGAATGATGGGAAGTGGCTATCGCCCCATTAAGGACACCTTCAACTTAAGAGCCACTAGTATTTTGCCACCTTTTTAGTCCCTTCCACCAGAATCAGGGGAAAGGGGAGTGTGTTTGGGCTTCGGTAACCTCTAAGAATGGAATAAAATAACAATCACATGTGATAAATTATATCATCTCACCTGTGACCGATTTACAGAACCACTGCGACTTAATTATTATTCTCTTTTTTAAATTATATATTCATATTGATTACATTTTTAAATATATTACAAAAGAAAAAAAATACATTTAAAAATATAAAAAATAGTACACTTTGGTGTACTATTTTTTATGTGTACTCTTGACGTAAACCTTTTCTAGTAATTTAAAAGAAGAGGTTAATAAAAGAACATATACAACTACTAAATTTTTTATTTTATTATATCCAACAAGTACTCTTAAGCGAATTTTTAAAATCATACTTAACTAAAACATAATCGCTATAACTTGCTCATTTGTATGTCAGATACAAAAATATTTATATCTTATATCAACAGAAAATCCACTCATACCAACTGTGATACACTAAACTTATTGAAATAATAAACCGCACTCATAATTTCAGCGTCCTTGTCCGTCTAGATACGACTAGTATCTTAGTATAAAATTTATTCACAAAAGTTAGTGGCGCCGGCTTTCAATATGAAGCCAATTTATACAGATCATCGTCTGCAGCTAGCTGCCTGCAACAAAGGAAATAATAAACATGAGTATGCAAACAAACTAAATCTAAATATCTACAACTTAAAGAATCAGAGCCTTAAACAATATGAAGCTATTTCAAATCTCTGAATGCAAATCCACTCTTTTTGTCAAGTCCCAATACTCCAAAAATTTAAATAGTGCTGCAACAGATAGCCAAGCACCATTCGATCTGCCTACATGTTGGTATGCCATTACAGTTAGCCTCAAAAGTAAGTAATCAATCTATAATCTATATCTAGGTACTGTGAATTGTAAAAAATAAAAAGTAAATAAAAATATTGTAATTGACTTCTGTGACAAAAAGCATATACATTAATTTGTCAATTCCACTATATCCAATGTTTTAAAACCAATGTACACATAGAAATTTCTTTTTTTTTTTTTTTTTTTTTTTTTTCTTTTTTAAAAGACAACGCCCGCATTAGGAATAAATCCTGTGTCGAAGGGGACTTTACAAACATACATGAAACGGACACAAAGGACACCCAGACTCAGAACAACAATTTGTGGATCACACAAGTGTCGTCCCATGTGGGGTTTGAACCCACAACACTCGGCGTAGTAGGAAGCGGCGTGGCCACCGCTTAAACCACTACGCCATCCGTGCAGTCACGAAATGGCACGATACTGTAGATACTGTGTTTAGTCACTATTCTTAATTACAATATTTTGTCAATATGAATGTAAACACTAAAATAGAACTTTATTCACATATAATTATTTTGAAGCTGACTGTAGCAACCGCTTCTTATCAGGAGATGCCCATCTAGAGTCTAAGGTTTTTACTGCAGGTACAGGAGTATCATTATCATGTAAAATCCTAATTATGTGTCCAAAACCGAAGTAAGAATGGTCACCCTCACAAGGTAGTATGTATGGATCATGGGTGGCTTATGCAGCTATGACGCATCAAATGAAAAATAAGTACTGTTTTCGTCATAGTATGAAACGTATTTTTCTATAATGTTCGTTTTGATAGAAGTCACATCATTCAATACATGAAAAATCGAGGGTTGATCGGAACTGAATCTTGACTGAACTTGTATTACAAGAATTGGCTTTCAGTTCGTTTACACAAACCACAACGCCATCCGTCCGTCATTTATAATTATCCTATCTTATATCCTTAACTATTTTTAAGGTTATGGTATATGTGGTTATCGATGTCTGTGGTGCACTTACGTCAGCTTAATTTTAAGTATCACTTTTCCAAAGCTTAATAGTCTTGTCGTTCTCGAGCGCCGCTGACGCGATGATGTTTTCGGTGGGGTGGCAAGCTGTGCACAGCACTGTGTCCGTGTGGCCTGACAACCGCTGCACGATCTCCTTGGATTGTAAGTTCCAGATATACACCATATTGTCTTCTGACCCTGATACTATCCACTATGGACAAAAGGACATTTTTTTTGATTAAAACATAACCATGGTACTAGTCTTCATGGTACATCCAAATTCTGATTAGACAAGAACTTGTACCTAGTAGACTCTGTATTTAGAAAAAATTGAAACGAATATAGTAATTTTGAAAATAAGTACAGTTAAGAAAATAGTCTACTTATTCTGTGCTATCACTTTAATCTCTGAATGTATATTTATGTATGGTGTATGGTAACTATTAAAACAATATCAATCCATATGTAGCAAAAATTATATTCACTTAAATATATTGCCTATACCAAATAACATTTTTTTCGATACAATAAAATAAAAAGGGTACATATTTTTTGGCAACACCGTGAAGGCTTTGAATGCAGGACGCATTTAAAATGAAACATGTTCTATTATATTGGTTTTCCTTTTGGTATAAAAATGGGCGCCGTAAAATTGCCGTGGCACATAAATAAACGTGGTTTTGTGGGCCTTGATAGCTTCCATAGAAAAAAATCTAGTGACATTTTTTCATGCTCACACGGTTATTTGCACGATACTTATGCCTAAAAACCAGATTGAATATTTTTTGCCTGTCTGTCTGTTCGTGACACACCACTAAAGCAGCGCTTTTCAAATTCCTCACGAACGATGTCGCAGGTACCAGCTGGTCCCAACTGTAGTCCATGTGGTATCATCGGAAAGTAGATAATATATTCACAACATGTGTATAAAGATAGTCACAATAATATATCTTATCTCTTGACTAGGATTGAATCGTGAGAAAACTATTTCTCAGTCATGTCCATGTTATCAACAAAGTAAATATCAGATCGGCAGATCGCAAACACCCACACATATATTATGATGGATGGTTAAGAGATTTGTACTGTTTATAAAGTGAATCGTTCTATTTTTATGTAATTATCACATTTTAGAACTTTGCTATAAGTATATAAATTCTTCTAAAAAATTGACAAAAGTAAACGTTTAAGTGTTGCCAACAAAACGCGTTAAACGGTACGTGTTATAACTTTCCATGCGTAAAATACAAATTTCATAAAAAAATATATGTTTTAAATGTTTTTACAGACTGTGTATATTGACGACTTTCTTGATCTTGACATTTGGTTCACTCGTCGAAGTTTATAATTGGTTGATACTCCATTGACCAAATTCAATACATTCAATATTGTAAATGTAGTTGCATTTTTAAATTTTAATATAATTATCACAAATAATTTACAGTAAACTAATCTCCTTACAGGCCGTTTACACGTTTACGTTTATTTACACATTGGCGCGTGCTTGTTCCCTACTGCTCAATTTGATATTACAAATATAGTAGTTGAACAGTCGTTAATTAAGTCTCAATGCTCTACTGATTGAGCAGTTTATTTGAGCAGTAGGGCTAAAGAATATTTTTTTAGTTTAGTGCTGCCGTTTATATTTAGAAAAAACTATGTCCACGTCTGCTATGTTTGCCTCTAATTTCTATACATATTTAACAATAATATTGCACATATAAATTACCTTTCCTCCTGTAACACTGAAGTTAGCGAAGATACAGTACTTTTCATTCTTGTGTCCGGTATACGTTTTGAGACATTTGCCTCTGCTGTAGTCCCACAACTTTAATGTGTTGTCCAGTGTCGCCGCCAGGATGTATTTTCCATTAGGTGAGAACTTCACAAACGATACTGGAGGGTTGTCATCGTCAATTAAAGTCTTTAGACATTGACCTGACGCTGTGTCCCAAATTCGACTATAAAGTAATCAATAGGTTGCTTATATTATTTACTGCAGAATAATACGAAAGTTTTTACTAACTACAAGCTCGATTAAAATAGCCTCTAGGTGATAATACGATACCAGGTCTAACTAACCAACAAAATAGAAAAGCATGAGAGGACAAGGTCTATTGTTGTAATTCAGTTATAACTGATTAAAAAAAGATTGGATCTATTTTATAGTTTTCTCTTCTGAATTGTGGAAAGAGTTTTCAGATTTATTTATAAAAGTTATATGTAATTTTACTAATGTATATAAAAATAAACTTACCATAGTCCATCATAACTTGAGGAAACAATCAGACTGCCATCTCTGTTAAAATGCACTGCTGAAACTGGATCCGAATGCGCCGGTAGAGTCTTTAAACATTTGCCTGAAAAGAACATAACAAATCATTACATGCCTTTAAAGTCACCTATTCGCCAATTGTATTAACAGGTTAAGATTGACCCCTATCAAGAGGTACTAAATTTTATTACGAATCACTTAAAAACAATAGCCTACATGCTCATTAAATGGCAATTCATTTTACTTTACTTTGTGTTCTCTTTAGTATATTTTAATATCTATCCAAGCAATTGGTTCTTAAAAGGCTGTATGCTATTATTAGGAGTTTGTGTGTCTAAATATTTCAACATTTTAGAGGGTTTTTGTAGGATTTACAACAACCTCTTTGAGTTACATGTATGCGATCTTGACACACTCGAGCTACTGCTTATACAACCCAATCCATCCGTGTCAGCAATATCCCTTTATTCTATCATTGCCTTCCTGTCTTCCTATAGTTAAGTTATAAAACCTTTTTTTTTAAATGTCCAGAAGATAACATTTGGGTTGCCCATATTTATGACTGCCCTGTGAACTTAGTTACCTACCTACCTACCATTGTTTGATTGTCAAATAGTAACAGATTTAATTTAACGTATTGATGTTACAGTTATGTATAGAGATGTTAAATGACCAAAACCGAAAATACTCTAAAAATATGCATTGTAATTTAAAAAAGCCGCCGAAATCAAATCAAGAATATTACCTGTTCTGACATCCCATATCCGAACACTTTCATCAAAACTACCAGATACAATAAGATTACTTTGTGGATTAAAATTACAGCAGAACACATAATTGCTGTGTCCCTTCAGTGTCTTCAAACATTTGCCTGAACTTAACTCCCATACCTGTAAACATAAAATATAAAAAGTGCTCATAATAATGTATTCTGAGTGTTGAAAGTTTGTTCTATCCATTTGTTTTAAGGTTAACCGAACATCGTTAAAAGTAAACCAGATTTAAACTGCTAAACCAAGTCTCTCAATGGCCTTTCTAAAAATATTGATAGATATTAAACCTTCATCTCTATTGCCAATTTATTGTACATTTTAAAAATCAAACAAAAGTTACTTAGATTGTTTTAGGTTTAAAACCATTTTTTACAGCAAATAAGTTTTCAAGAGTATGAATTTCAATAAATTATTGTTGTAAATTGCTAATTACATAGTGGTTTCAAGAGTTTTATTAATCCATACTTTACATATTGCATAAGTGGAATCACAGAAACACATATGAATATGTGCTACAAAGTTTAAAATTATATTGACAGTTCAAGTTAGACTGGCCAATAAACTAAAACGAGGCATTCAAAAGTTTAAATTCGAGTGCGGAAAATCTCTAGTTCAAATAAATTTAATTTAATAAATAAATCCCAAGAGGTAAGTGCTAATAGATGACTTGATTTAGCTACAGCAAACTATTTTCAGTCGGGCATTATTGTTTCGTGTGTACTGTGTAGGCTAGTTAGGTGTCGGCCTGATTTAATTATTGTTAATACTGGTTATGCGCACTTGGTGCCGGGTAAGCCAACTGGTTAGGCAGTGAGCGGTGAACCAAATCGAACCTTGTTGACGGTCAGCCCAACTAGTCAGTGTATGTATGTATATTGTTAGAGGGTGACACGTGTTGCACTAAACCACAATAACAACTTTTAGCGATTGTGTTCTCTAGATATTTTTATCTCTAAAGATTTTCCTGTTTGTGGAACAACAAATTATTATCAGACGCCTATAAAACCAAATTCAATCATTCTACTTTATTGTTACGCAATTATTTTTAAATGAAAAGAATTAGTAAAACTTATCTTTTGTAACTGCTAGTTTCGGCTTGTGTTGGTAGTTGAAGGAGAATTGTTTAAAATCTTAGAATTGTGCACTTCTTCTAAATATAAACATTAAGTATTTCAATTATGAGAATGCTCCCATGCTGCATATTTGTTTAAAAAGTTATAGGCAACAGTAACAATTTTAACACTAAACACTTAAACAACAACAATTTTCTTCACGTATTACTTTATTTATATTAAAAAAAAATGCTATTCTAGAAACTTTTTATGGCAATAATGAGGATATTATGAGGGCAAGATAATAAAGCAGTGCTTTTTTCATAAAAAATTAGGTTGAATTATTATTAAGAGATTAGCTATGTATTACGCAATGATTACATTACGATTAATGATTACGTAATTATTGGTAGGTACTGATATGTAGTGTTATAATTTAGACCATTACTACCCAAACTTAGTAGGTTGGGTAAAAAGGCAATTATTTGACTTCGATTGCTAGTATACTTTGATATTATGTTAGCAGAAATATTGTACTTACGGTTCTGAATCCTACTGTGTACAGTACTCATAGAAATTAAAAGACAGAAATTAAGTCTTTCTATTTTCTATTATTTATTATATTAATGATATTATTATTGAGCCGTTATTGTGACGATTCTCAAAATAATGACATTTAGACACCAAGACATTATAATTTTTAGGAATTCTAAAGATACTACATTTACTAAATTTTAAACATACGCTCAACTCGAAAATTTAAAGATTAAAAAGCAGCTGATCTTTAAATGAACTGAATAAATTGATGATGAACTGAACAATGAAAATCGGTCCATCCGTTTAAGTTTACATTCCTACAAATAGATAGACATGTTAAACTTATACTAACACCCTTTAAAAGGGTTTTAAAGCTAGATAGCGGTAAGTTCGATCATTTTAAAAACTATGCAAGATTCCCTTATAAGCAAACATTGCCTTTTTGTTTCGATTATACCTAATTATTCCTTAAAATATTGCAAAATAAAAGACATCACAAGTATTATAAAAACCAATAAATGCCCCCTGTGATAAATGTAAAAACTAAAACTATTATAGTAAGCCTGAGGTTTACGTATTGGTAAGGAAGTTAGTTTTTACTATTTTGTGCTTCGATGTAAATTTTACTTTTTCCTAAAAGAAAAATTACGAAGATAGCCTGGGAAATACAAACTGACGAAATAGCCTAATACTTATCTAAAAAGGCTAATAAACTCTTATCAGTTAAGAGCGTAAACAGTTCACCAACCGGCAACTATTTTATCATCATTCTCAGACTATTTCGACAAGAACGAAGCTCTCAAAATTGTTATACACCATTATTGGTTTAATTGTTTATTAAAATGTATTAATATTTTATACTTTACAATATTTTGGGTATTATCGTGTCCATTAAGTAAGCGTGGTGAGATAGTTGTTTACAAAAATCAATTTTAAGCAGGTAGCAAGATAAACCAGTTTACAACCAACACAATCTTGTAAAAAGTATAATAGAACAAAATATGTCACATTCCTTTTTAAAACTATTATTTAGCTACTAAAAAAGACTTTTAATTTACGTGTGTAATAAGTATGTATATATATCTACCGAAAGTACATTTATACGTAAACATTAAAGAGTTCGATGGAATTTTTCATATAGCTGATAATTGAGTTAATAATGTATAGGCTCTAATATACGTGGCAACGGTTCATTTGAAATCGAAGTATGTCATGAACAGTCACGTGTGGCCGTGAGTGGCAGAAAAAATCTCATAGACATGGATGATTTATATAAATCTATACAAATAAATAAAATTGGAGTGTCTGTTTGTAATATTAAAATAACCGCTTTTTACTAAATGCATATGTATGTTTACACGGTACATATGGCAAAATAACATTTTTAGAATTTTTGTCTGTCTGTCTGTCTGTTCCGGGTAATCTCTGGAACGGCTGGACCGATTTTGACGGGACTTTCACTGGCAGATAGCTGACGACATAAGGAGTAACTTAGGCAACTTTTTTTAGACTAGCTTCGCCGCGCGGCGTTGCGCGCGGTTATAACAACAAACGCGGGAACACCGCGGGTCTCAGCTGGTCCATACTAATGTTATAAATGCGAGTGTGTCTGTCTCTCTGTTACCTCTTCACGCTTAAACCGCAGAATCGATTTAGATTAAATTTGGTATAGAGATAGTCCGAGTCTTGGGCAAGGACATAGGGTAATTTTTATCCCAGAAATCATATCAGGGGGGTGAAAGTTTGTACGGGGAATCGAGAACCGCTGAACCGATTTAGATGAAATTTGGTTAGGCACGCCGTTATCGTGGCGGTAAGACCCGTTACAGCGAATTGGCTCCAGAGGCATCACGGAACCCTCTCATACCGGTTGACTCAGGTGATCAAGGGAAAGGATGCTTCGGAGATCACCTGTGTTTGATTCGCAAGGAGGCAACGCCTGAGTGCCACCACTGCGGTGGTCAAAACGTGGACACCGCGCTCCACATGCTGGCAGAATGCCCGGCGTGGGTGGAGCAGAGGCAAGACCTCGTGGCGGCCATCGGAGTGGGAATTCTCTTGCTCGGTAACATGATTGCCGCCATGGAACGGAGCGAGAGTGCGTGGAACGGAAGGTCACAGAACGACCTCCGTCCTTCATAAGGCCCGGGGCTGGTAGATGAGGCCATCTGTCGGGGTATCAGGGATTTCCTTCCTAGGGTACACCTGGTTCCCTGGCAACTGGTACTCGAGACGGCGTGCTGTTTTTGGTAGGTTGGAGTCCGACATAACCACAGGTGGGTGATATCCGAGGGGATTTCCGCACAGAAAAAAAAAGGTGGAATTTGGTATGGAGATACTTTAATCCTTCATCATCATCATCATCAACAGCCTTTAATAGTCCTTTTTTACTAGTCCTACTTTTTAGCACGATAACCGACATTTACGCGGGCGGAGCCGCGGGCAAAAGCTCATCATATATTAGACGTAGATTCTATAAAAACTCAGAAGAGTAAGTTTGTAAGATCACTCACTCGGTGAAAGTAAAGAAAGAATGATTGCTTAACACCGATTTTCTGTAAGGCCGTGGTATCATCATCCTCATCATCTGTCAAGCCGGCCCATTTGTGCCGAATTATGGCTGTCCCACGACAAGCATGGCTCTCGCACGATAACTTTGTCCGCTCTACAAAGAACAATAGGGGAGAGGTGCCATGAAAGGGACACGTATTGAAAGGGACAATTCAAATTACCGGTAAAAATCGTATCGAGACAAAAATATTTTTCTTGTAGTATGGCCACTCTGAAGCACATTCAGTCGCAGCAAATTTTACACTGCTGTCTCTTTTAAGATGGCGACGGCGTGTGAGTGTTTGTCATTGTGTACAAAAGTATTAATATTAGTTTTCAGAAATGTTTTGTGGAACTCTGTAAATTGATAATCATTTATTTAGCAATATTTGTGATCGACCTGATAAAGACAAACATAACAAAGAAAGCTCAGTAAATTTTACTCATTGATTGTCAGTTTAATAATATGGTTGAGTTTTAATTTGTGTTTATGAAAGAGACAACAAACGGGTTATGAATGGTCCCATTCCTTTTCATAATTGTCCCTTTCTCGGCGGCTATTTTATTTTGATTTTACTTCACTATATATTTATATTCTTTGCAGTTTAAATATGCCACCTGAAAAGAAAACCTGTGATGAAGCACAAACGATTGAGAAAAATTGTAAAGGAAAAGGATTTCTGTAAGATCGGCTGCTAAAGCATTAAACTATGCTTTTGATTGTTATTCACATTTAAAAAAGCATAATTACTTAACTTTAACACAATAATTTAAAAATATATTGGTTACAAATTATGTGCTTTTCTACTAATTTTTTAGTTAAGCTATCTTTTATGCATTGCTCAATGTTACTAGATTACAATATTGTCAATGTTAATTTGTTAGTAACAGTAACAATTAGTCAGCAAACCAAAGTTATAATAAGAATGTTAATTAAAAATCATTTTTAAATATAAGTAAACTAGTATTAGTATGTTATGAAGTAGTTTTATATTAACATAACGTACCTACTGTCCTTTTCAAAAACTGGCGCGTCCCTTTCAATACAGTCCAATTATGAAAGGGACGTAATACATATTTTAGAAAGTTGTTAAAATATATTACTATGAAAAAAGAAAAATAAGTTGTTTTATTTTATTTCAACTGTTAAGTAATATAGACTTCACCTTCAGTTCTAACCAGTTCAAAATGTTATCCCGGTAATTTCTAGAGCCTCTACAAAAAAAATCCCCTTCTTCCCACCTTTCTTCTATCTAACACTCGTTTCCCTCGTCTTCAGTAAAGAAGTCTGGTTATTTTTTTGCATTTCATTTTCAAGCTTTTTACGCATATAAGCAACGCGGAGACTTAAATTTTGCAGTAAACTAAAGTTTACATTTACCCTAACGACAGCCTGTAAACGGTTTTTAAAAATGTCAACCGAAGCTGCGTTGTTTGAAAAGGCCTCATGCGATATTTCCCACATGCCCCTAAAACGAGTCTTTAATGAGCCCGCGCGCGAATTAGCACCTGCACGAACTGAACCGTAACTTAATTTTTACCAAATTCGCATGTCATGGTTGTATGTTAGTATTGTAAGTCAAGCTTTCTATTTTATAATCAGTGACACTTTTTTTTTTATTTTATGAGCGCTAAGCGTCGAAGTTCATGGGCTTTCTGAATTATTTTATGACATTAATCATAACTCACTAGTTCTACTAGTTATACAGGTATTACGAAAACGCTTCCGAAAACAAAGACACAATATCATGAAGCACTAATACCTACTACCTGTGATCATGGATCAGAAAAACAATCGATCAAGAAGCGCGCGCGCGCGGTCGCCGAACCTTGGACCGAGTTTCGATAGAATCGATCGAACAGCTGAATTTTTGTAACGTACATTGCGCCGATTTTTTTATTAGTGATGTTTTTTTATGTCATTTTAGTTTCATATAACTTTACTACAATGATTAAGCATAAATAATACTAATAAAATGTTGTAAAAAGTTGTCTTTTTTCATAGAAATTTAAAATGATGATTCATGAATGGATTTCAATTCAAACTATCTTGAAGAAAAATCATAAGATTTGAAATTTAAATGTAAATTATGTTTATCACATAATACAGGGGAGGCTGATATTACATAATATAATGCCTACGACATAATTTGTCTAGTGTGACACTCCTCTTTATTTATTTATTTAATCCATTATGCACAAATAAATTTACAGAGGTGAACCTTCATGCCATAGGCATTCTCTGCCAGTCTACAGAAGTACAAGACTTGATCAAGAAATAAATTTATACGGAAGGCGAAAAAATGGGTATACAATACATGTCCATTCAGACTTTCTTACATACATACATATACCTACACATAAATATACATAATTCATAATTATAATATTGGTATTAATAAAATGATGATGTGTCTACTTTGTGTGTAAAGAGAGTTATTACTTTCGCCTTGAACGAATGACGACTAGGTGCCATTCTTATGTCCTAGGGAAGTGCGTTCTAGAAGGACAGATTGAATGAGGAAGGAAGAATGAACACACGCGGCAGTATGAGAGGGGCATAACAGAAGATTATTTAAGGAGCAAAGGGTTCTGTCATAATTAGAACACAGGAGTTGGAAAAAGAATGTCAAGTAAGTAGGTGAGTGGAGAATAGTATATAGAGTGGGAAGGGAGCGTAGGTGACGGCGCTGACGAATCGTGAGCCAATTTAACTTAAGGCGGAATGAGCAATCATGGTCAAATTTACGGAGATTAAAAACCAATCGAATGCAGTTATTCAGAAGTCATTCGTATTTTTTGGGGAGGTCTGCATTCAGGTCGTAGGAGCACACATCACTATAGACTAGACTTGCAACGAATATTCGGTTACTATTCGGTATTCGGCCTATTCGGCTGCTTTTATTATATTCGGCCGAATACCGAATATCTACATATTATTCGGCCGAATACCGAATACTTAAATAATATATTTTGTCATTGAGAAATAATTGATAAAATGAAAAATTAAAATCGATTGATTACGTATATATTCATATTTTCATTTCTGTTATAATCATTTAAGTAGTCATTGGTGCATAAACACAGGTACATAATCATCTTCTGAATTGGAAAAATGGAGGATTCTATGTATTTGAATTATTGTGGTAATCAACATTTAGAAGGGTAAGGTTCTCATTTCTTTTATAATCATTTATTAAGTAGTCATTGGTACATAAAACAGGTACATAATTTAATTCATGCCTGTACAAGTCTTTGGCGCTAAAATCCAGCCGAATACTTTTGCCTAATATTCGGCTATTCGGTCAGGGGCCTCGCCGAATATTCGGTATTCGGTATACTGCCGAATATACTATTCGTTGCAAGTCTACTATAGACGATAATGGGGATAATTAAGGTCTGTACCAACATCGCTTATGTCTCCGAGGGAAGAACGTTCTTGAGTCTGTATAAGGCCTGCATTATTACTAGTGCTATAAAGAGGTTGTTTGGTTGAACGACCTAATGTCAGAAACTACTGGTTCGTATCGAAAAATTATTGCAGCGTTGGTTAGCCCATTTATGGAAGAAAGCTATAAGCTATATAACATTACCCTACTACCAATAGGAGCCAAACATCAATTAAAAAGTTTGCAAAAACGGGGAAAAATTTATTCCTAGTGATAGACACAGAGGACGTAGTTGAAGGGGTCAGCTAGTCTTTACATAGTATAAAATGAAGTCGCTTTTTGTGTTGTGCGCTTAGATCTTTCAAACTAATCACGGATTTTAATGTGGTTACTTCACCAATAGAGAGAGTGATTGTAGAGGAAGGATTGTATCTATAATAAATACATACCATAGTAGAGAAAATCCGAGAATTTCAAAGATTTATCGTAATTAACATGGTTTTGTGCGCTTACATTGCAAACATTTGCTAAACCTTACGAGATAGACCAAAGTAATGTACTACGGAATTGTATATCTTTAAAAGATCTACCAAAATCTGCGATCTGTCTAGTAAGGACAACCAGCAGTGACCAAATATTACAAAAAATAATTGGTTAATTACGAAGCTATTTCAAACAATACATTATTATTCTTTATCCAATTAAGTACTTTACATACGTTTTGCATTTAATGTAGATTGAAATTGCTCTTTAATGCTTTGCATTGAAAATGAATATTTTAGAACATATTAGAGGTTGAAAATTCGGGTTTAAAACGACTGTCGAGCCGTTCCCGGGTGGCAGTGGCGGGCAGGATCGAAACGAGCCCATCTATATTGCCTTTAAAGATCCTGTAGTATCACATCAATCAACCGCCTTTAATAGTCCACTTCTGGATATAGCCCCCCCCTCCCCCCCTTAGAAAGACGGTTTTGACCTACTACACCACACTGGCCAGACAGGTTGGTATAGGGTTTGTGTCAAGTTTTCCTTCTCTTTGTAGTGCTGTTGTCCTGCATAGTTTGTTCTCTTAGTCGGCACCCATGGGATTAATAGGGGTGGTGACACTCCATATTCTTAATCCATCCTGTAGTATACTACAGGACGGATTATTATGATAGGACTATAAGTCCTATCATAATAATACCCACACTGACACCATATCAGTACTATTAGTAGTGTCTACATTGCACCCGTGCAAGAGATAATGCTACACATTATCTCTAGGTCTACCTTGGGATGATGCAAAGATGGGTGACTACATGCACAAAATTTAAGTAATAAATGTAATTGGTAAATAATGAGGGACATACCTAAATGTACATACAAAAATACATAAACCATGTATATATATATGGCATTATGGTTGTGATTAAACTCTGAAAGTGTATTGAATAACAGCAAATTATATTAATAATATTTTTGGACATCTGACGCAACAAATGACATAGAAAATTACCTTTAAAGTTTTGTCGTCACTGGCACTAACTATCAACCTGCTGTCTGATGACCATGCCACATCACTGATGCCCATCTTGTGTCCTGATATTGTTTTTTCAAATTTGCCATCATAAGCACCCCACACCTTGATGAGTTTGTCAGCAGCTGTAAATCATAATAAGTAGTGAGAATTTTTATTTTAAATTATAGTTGAAATGTAAAATAATGGTTATTACATTTAAAGAAATACATAATAACCTTACACATGTGACGACTTTGTGTGAAACAAGGGCATCTGATCACAAAGTTGGCAAAGCCTGTATTAAGGTAGACAGACTGCTAATAAAGATACGTATATATTTCATAACAAATACATACTAAACATCAATTACATCAAGGCACAGAACAAATGATCATGCTCATTAGCAATATTTGCCCTGAGTGGGAATCAAACGCACAACCTCTGGCTAAAATAGGCCCGTCTTAAATAGGTATGACATGGGCATCAATTATTCATACAAGGAAAGTTTTTTACCATGTATAATTCTGCTAACAGCCACACTAAACAGATTTTTAATTTTTGATAATGGATATGACCACTACAAAATTCAAACAGAACAACCATTGTAATAAGCCTATCTATTACACTAACTCTGACAGACAGTAAAAGTTCTTAATCCCTATCATGAGAGTGTTAATTCCCATCATCAAATCATCAACAGCCTATACTAGTCTACTGCTTGACATAGGCCTCTCCTTAGAAAGGAGGTTTTGGCCTACTATACCACGCTGGCCAGACGGGTTGGTATAGGGTTTGTTTCAAGTTTTCCTTCTCTTTGCAGTGCCGTTGTCCTGCTTAGTTTGCTCCCTTAGTCGGCTCTTACGACACCCATGGGATGAATTGGGGTGGTGACAATTTGTATTCTTAATCTGACACCACACGGACTTCCCATAATACATAATTATATATTCAAGAACTGATAATATATTTGAAATGCCCACAATTTAAAATTACATCAAATAGCAGACATCTTCATAGATATTTAAAAGGTCTTCGTATCTACATTATGCATCTTTTAGTAGTGCCTTACTTACAGTTATAACTAACTAATAACTATTTAAGAATTTATTTACTAAACAAGTTTTTAATAACACATTTTGTGTTTGAACAAACAGTTACATCATGCAGAAAACAAAAAACTGTGTATGTAAACTACAATAACTTGAAGCTATTGATAATTTATACACTCTCAAGGCCAACTTTTGTATGAGCTGGCATAATAATGCTGAGTGTATAAATGTTAACACAAAAAAAATACATAATGTGTTTCTTACCAGGGAAACAACTGACTAATTGTATGCTACTAATCGAAAGTGATTTGTATAATAAGTAGTCAAACGGTACTACATCTTATTCTTTCGGACAACATGATTAATATAGATTTTTAACAGTATAATGTAATGACAATTAAAAGTTGTTTAAAATATATGACAGACATTGCACCTAGCAACAAAAGATTAACGAAAGTAGCACATGCTCAGAAAATGGACACTATGCTTATTCAATAAGGTCTAAAACAATACGCGTCTGTCATTTTAAAAATAACTTGGACGATAGTTTGCACCTGATAATTAGCAGTCATTTGATATGGAGCTATTTATGAATTAAATAAACAAACTAACACATGAAATTATCAAACGTAAATAAATAACTAAGGCAATCTAATTAAATATGCAATAAAATGATTTACTTACAAGAACTTGCCAACCATTCTCCATTTGGACTGAATTTTACCGACGACACAGCCTTCGTATGTCCTGCTAGCGTAAATTTGAGCGTATAATTCGGCTTCTGGAAACCGACATCAAAATTAGCGCCAAATCGCACGTGCTCTACCCAGTTGAAGTTACATAAACATGTGCCGCCCGCCAGACTGACGCAAACCGACGAAATACAATGACGGAACGATACTTACCGCCACTGACGACTTATTTGATTGTGGAGTTGTTTGTGATAACGAATTTGGACCAGTAAGGTTGGCGGAAGGTCCACCGTGTGTTTGGTGTGCAGCAGGATGGCCTGGCCCGGGACCTAGCGGCACCATGTTTCAACTTTCGACGCACTTCGCTTTACTTTGTTCGTCACCCAACACAGTCACTAATACACAAAGAACAACAATTTAATTTAAACTTTGGAAAATGTAACACCCGTAACTTGTCACACACTACGGTTTTCACATATATTTCAGCGTAGATATTCAAAGAACATTCTAAATCCGGGCGTCTCAATGCGTGCATATTTCGCGAAGAACAAGCAGTGGTACCAACATAATTTTAAAAACATTACCTCCCGCGACACTCTAGCTGACTTTGGTATTGTCTATGGATTAATGTTTGTTTTTAGCCTAGTCTATGGAAATTTAGTTATTGACTGTCAACGATGACGCGTTGCTGTGTTATACAATGTGTCTGGGTTCGGACTGTACTGTACTGTTTATCTCGATATTAACACTAATGAAACATTTCTTGTGAATTCTGTATATTTTGAGTTGGGCTATATGTAAGACATATGTAATGTAATTTTGAGTTGGGCTATATGTAAGACATATGTAATGTAATTTTGGGTGGGCTTGTAAGGTCGAAAGATTGCTCTCTAAAAATAATTAATATCGGAGACAAAATTATTGAATGGAAACAGAATAGATTAATAGCACGCGCGGATATTGTTACTAATAAAAAGAAGAGTCTGCAAAGTAGTACGAATGTTATGATACTTGACCAATCTACTGACGAGGAATTACAATTATCTGATATAGATATAGGAGATTTAGAAAGGAATGATAGCAGTCGACTATTACGGTTACTGAATAAATACAGACATTTGTTTGCGAAAAATACAAAAGATTTGGGATGTACAGCAATTTTTAAAATTATTTGAGTTATTTATCTGATTGCTAATACTTTTCCGTTATGGGAAGTTTTTGTTTTACGATAATCGGACATTAAACTCCAAAGTTACATAACTTTTAGTATGGACGCTACGAAAAAGTCAACCAAAATACAAAAATGGCTGCCATTCAGAGGCCGTTGGGTTTAGACCCCACTTGTAGAGTGATTTTAGTGATAAAATAGAGCAAACTATCACCCCCTAAAGTTTATACAGTCCGAACCCAGACACATTGTATATACAACTATGATTTCTACCTTAGAAAAAAATAGCGTAATAGCTCGTAAAACGATCGAAATGTAACGTGATTTATCAGAAAACAAAGCTAACACTTACTTATTTCAATATATGACATGGTTGAGAAAGGTTTTATAAATGTAAAGTTAAAAATCTTAGAATATAATATTGTACGTTTTACATTGCCTAAAAATGTAAACAATCATTACAAAGAATGATTATAAAATCGATTTCAATATGTAGTGTATTTTAGATAATACATATTTAACAGAAAATAAATGCCCTAGAATTTACCCAAAGATTACAACCGAGGTTAAGGACCCACACCCACGTAACCTGTACTATATGAAAATCTATTAACATAGAACATTCATAGAACATTCTAACCATGGTTTTAATGTTCTATCAATACAAAGAGCTATATAAAAGATGAAGTCATTTATCATACTTCGAAAATACATTTACTTTTGACTCCAAGAATTTCACAATGGTTTAGGGAATCACCTCGCCTCGTCTATTGGGAGTTCAAATCACTATTGCACTACAATTTGTGTTATCCACATAACGTTGTTCACGAGTCTGGATATTCTTTGTATCCATTTTTTTATCTGTGAATGACTATGATCATTCTTAAAGAGAAAGAAAGTTTTTTTTGTAATGAGAATTGCAAGAAATTGAAGCCGAATAGTTGTAACATATTTGTAAAACAGTGAGAGTGAAATTCATGACCAATTACACATAACATGTTAGTAAATTTGTTAAAGATCCACAGATATGTAAGTGGAGATCAGGTTAAATCAAATCACTTGCGGCTACTAATTAGCCGAATTCGTCATTTTATCCTGCGTAGTAGAAAACCATAGTGTGGTGCTGGTGGTTTAAAAATACAGAGTACTCACTGTTTAACCCATGGGTGTCGTAAGAGCCGACTTAAGAGAGCGAACGAAGCAGGACAAAAGCAAAGAGATGAAAAAATTGAAACAAACCCTATAACAACCTATCTAGCCAGCGTTGTATAGTAGGCCAAAATCTCCTTACTATGGAGAGACAGTTGTCCAGCAATAGACTATTAAAGGCTGTTGATGATGATGATGCTAGTGGGACATTGAGCGGCAGTGATGTGTTAAAAAGACGTTTTTTCAGCTCAGTTGTTAAATTGATTATATTGATGTGAAGATTTATGTTATGAGATCAGTACGTAATATTTGCTTATTTTCTAAAAATAAAACCTTTAAGATTCTTTGAAATTCATTTCAGCTAAAAAACATTGAGTAAAACGATTAGTAACGATTTCTTGTTGAACACAAAGTCTGTTCGTAAACAAAAAATTATAATGAATTATTGTAAGGTGTTCAATAGGTAATCATGGCAAGAATGTTTGACCTCTTTGGCATTACGAAGGTTAAAAGTGTCACTTTTGAAGTTCTTGCCGCTGCCTTGTAAAGTTAAAAGAGTAATATTTATTAAAATACACCTATAATGGCTTTACATAAACTTAGTATTGATGCCTTGAACCTAAGTGGTAAACGCGTTTTAATGAGGTAAGACTATGACCATTGTAGAGATAATATTACCGTGAGACTTCTTTAAAAAAAGTGTCACTGTTATAATTTATTTATTTGGAACTATATCTTACAATTTAATTAATTCCAGGGTAGACTTCAATGTTCCACTTAAAGAAGGAACAATAACCAATAACCAACGTATCGTCGCGGCCTTGGATTCTGTTAAATATGCTCTTGAGAAAGGTGCCAAGTCGGTTGTTCTTATGTCCCATTTAGGCAGGCCGGATGGTCAAGCAAACATAAAGTACACTTTGAAGCCAGTCGCTGAAGAATTAAAAAAACTTCTTAATAAGTAATTATTAAAATATGACATATATAATTTTACAAATGTGTAACATGACGAACATGATGAACAATTAGATCAGCTTTATGTGGGCATTAATTTAACTATAAGAATATTATATGCAAATTATATGTATTTTCGAAACTTTTATATAATACCATATGGGGAGTTTCTTTTGTAGTTTATTGATAAAAAAAACATAATTTAATGTAAAGTCTAAAAGTAAACAAAAAGTCAAAACATACTTCAATGTACCTAATATTATTTTAAAGTTTAAAGTATAGAAGCTACATTGGTGCTAATTCTGTTGTTCGAAAACACTAAACTAAATATCACGAAAAATTTGTTTTATCCTGTCAAATAACGTTTCCTGTTCTGAAAACGTAGAATTTGGCAGGACAAAATTTTTAGTCTAGTTTAGAGAGTTTTCAAACAACAGAATTAGAAGCATTGTAGAACTTGAGAAAGTTATATCAATAAGTTTAACAAGTCCTACAGTAAACAAATAAAACATTTAGGTTTTAAATTGCCTTTCAGAGATATAACTTTTCTTCCTGACTGTGTTGGTTCAGAAGTTGAAGCTGCCTGTGCTGATCCAACACCGGGCTCAATTATTTTGCTAGAGAATCTTAGGTTTCATATTGAAGAGGAAGGAAAGGGAGTTGATGCTTCTGGTGCCAAAGTAAAGGCTGATGCTGAGAAGGTGAAAGCCTTTAGAGCAAGTTTGAGGAAATTGGGAGATGTTTATATCAATGATGCTTTTGGTAAGTTAGTATAATATTCAGTATCAGTTTTACCATCCCTTTAAAACCAGTATACACCCAAATTTGATAAGCCAAGTAATTTCTTAAAAAAAAGGTTAAAATTGATGTACTGATAACCTGTTCAGAGTGTCACATACTTCTACAAAAAGGAACTCCTTAGAAGTTTTGGCAATAGATGTGATGCTCAGTTTTTAGTGAATGATTATATGATGATAAAAAATAATAATAAGATATCTAACACAATGCCTAGTTTCAAACTAAAAAGAGCTTGTGTTATGAAATTAAGATTGACTGATTGAAAACTTATATACTTTTTTTTGTAAATACATACATACTAAACATGGAAAAATAGAAGAGCAAAATAGTCAAAACTCAGGGTCAGGGTTTGTAGTCACTTGTATATCAATGGTTTCCAATTCATCTTTAACTCTGTACTTCATAAAATGCTCAGTTATAGACCTATCGTTCAGCTTATAACTAATAAGAACCCAATGAAGATTAAATTTAAAAAAAAACACACAAGCATAGCCCAAGCTCGAAATTCGTAATTTTCATCAAATTATGTTCAACAGGTACAGCACACAGAGCTCACAGTTCTATGATGGGTGAAGGCTTTGAACAGAGAGCTAGTGGTTTCCTTCTTAAGAAAGAATTGCAGTACTTTGCAAAAGCACTGCATGAGCCCGAAAGGTGAGAATAAAATACTTAATGATATGCTATTATTTTCTGATTCAGTCTTAAAAACCATACTTATTTTGTTGTTAGCCAACAAAATATATCACCTCATTGTAATTAAAAATGATTATTGGGTATTTTTATAATTGTAGACCATTCCTTGCTATCCTGGGAGGTGCTAAGGTAGCTGACAAAATTCAATTAATTGAAAACTTGCTGGACAAAGTAAATGAGATGATCATTGGAGGTGGTATGGCATTCACTTTCCTTAAGGAAACTAAGGGAATGGCTGTAAGTATAAAATACATATATATAAAATTTTGATTTAAAAATTTGCCACAGCTAGTCCAATTTAAATGCTATTAACACTTATATTTCTCTTTAGAAATTGACATTGGGCAATTCAATCATGCAAAACCATAAATATTTATTGTTTTAAACATTATTTTCTAAAAATAATTTTAAGGTATCTCATTATTGTTGCCTAAAAGTTAGTTATTTATTTAAATGTAATTTAGTATATTCAGGTGTAACTGCAAATAATTAATACAAAAAAATCAACTTCTACTTCAGTTTGTTTATTCAAGTTATAACAGAATAATGTTTAAATTTCTCCATCTTCAAATGCTACGAGTAGCTTGCCAGTAATACCATGTCTTGAGTTGTCTTTTATATTCTACACCTATAATTATGATTTTAGATTGGCAGTTCCTTATATGATGCTGATGGGGCCAAAATTGTTAAGAAGTTACTGGAAAAGGCTGCTAAAAACAATGTAAAAATCCATCTACCTGTTGACTTCCTGACAGCTGATAAATTTGATGAGAATGCTCAGGTAACAAACCTTTTTTTTTGACAGTATATTGTTATGAATAAACAGTTGAAGGATCTTTTAGAACTTATAGCAAACATATGGACGCCATAACAGTTGATTGATAGATTCATAACTAATTAAAAGAATTCATTTGAATTATTAGAATAAGTTTATGTTGATGAGACAGTTCACAATACTTATGATTTCTTAACCTATACTTTAGCTTACCAATTTGAAGTACTGTGCAAGTATGTGAGTCTGAACACTTGACTTTTGTGATTAATTGACATTAATAATATACTAAATCTAATTTGTGGCAAAACAAGTCTAATGAATGAAGATTATCCAGAATGAATATTTCATGCTATCATCATTAATCTTACTTTCAGGTTGGCAATGCTGATATTGAAACAGGCATTCCTGATGGCTGGATTGGTCTTGATGTAGGACCTAAATCTAGGGAACTGTTTTCTGAGCCCATAGCACGTGCTAAAGTTATTGTGTGGAATGGGTATGTAAAACTCTCTACTCATTATGATTCTGTGATGTATTTAAATAATGATGAAAGAATCATATTGTTACGAGCGAACTATAACAAACAAGAAATCACTATATAACTCGTTAGTCACACTCGAAATTCACTTCGATGTTAATTCGCTGTGTCGTAAAATGATACTGTCCCGAACGGCCAACACGCTCCGCTTTTATAGTGCTATCGAATTTACTAGAATGATCCCTAGTATTCGATAGTCCGTTCCAGACAAATAAGAATATTCCAGTATCGGTTACGCGTTACTTGCAGCGCCATCTAGCGCTGTAAGTATCAGAATTATTATCACAATCTCAATAGTTGTACTTTACGTGATACTAGATGGTTCCAGAATTGTATGGAATGTAGAATACAGCTCCAGAATTGTATGGCATTTCATACAATTCTGGAACAATCGAACCGTTTAATCCTATGGCTAAGCAATATTATAAATTGAATATGTTCTAGTATTTGAAATTAAGATCTTGTTTTGTATAATAGACCGGCTGGTGTTTTCGAATTCGAAAATTTCGCTGGTGGAACCAGAGCTTTAATGGATGGTGTTGTAAAAGCTACTGCCAACGGAACAATCACTATTATTGGTGAGTGACTTGAATATATCAGATGATTCTCCTGTTTAATTCATATAAAATTTTTGCTCATTTATTTATAAGATAAGAGTTTTTTTTTCCAGAGATTCATTAATTCGTGCAATGCAATGGAACATGTCTGAAAGAAACATACGCCTATTGACATTAACTTACTATGTATTGACATGTATACACACACATACACAAAAAATTAACATCGACCATAGCTGTCATTTTTGTAACATAGTACATATAAGGGGGTGACGCTATATGCTGAGATACAGGTTTATAACCTGGTTCGGCTATAGTCACGCCATTCACTCTTTGTAACATGTAATAGAATGTCTCCATTTTTAAGTACTTCTGCCATTGTATAAAACTTGTAAAGAGCTTTTCAATAAAATTATTATTATTATCTTTATACCATTAAATATACCTATAAATTACATTTAAAAATAAATTTATGTCCAAAAAAAATACATTTAAAAATATAAAAAATATATCTATTATCTTGTATACCTATTATTATTGATCCACGCTTTGGCACTTGATAAGGTATGCCACACGCCACCACCCATCAGGCATGGGAGTTCCCCTAACAAGGGTTAGGGGAACTCCCATGCGTAAGGGGTGGTGGCACTTACCATTAAATGACCCGTCTGCTCGTTGGTGTGTTAAAAAAAACTGAGCTAAGTGGGTTATTTGGCCTTGTTTTTGAGCTACAGTAGGGGCATAATACTTATTTGTTATTCGGAACAGGTGGAGGTGATACAGCCACTTGCTGCTCTAAATGGGGCACTGAAGACAAGGTGTCTCACGTGTCCACGGGCGGTGGTGCCTCCCTAGAATTACTCGAGGGTGAGTGTTACAATTTTTTTCTCCCATATTATCTATGATCAAGAATAAGGAACATTAGTGATAAAGAATTTGAATATTTACACTTTTGCCAACATTTATAAATAAATGTGTTATCTCAAACATAGGTCAAACAATCAGAACAATTACTAGATTCTTCAAATCTTTTGTTAACTATACTTCTCATCATCATCTTCCGAGTCTTTGCCCAAACTAGGTTGGTGTCAGCTTATTATACTTCTATATAAAAATACTTTTCAGTAACTTACCGTAAAAAGATATTTCTTTTAAAACCCTAGTATTACGGTTAACGTTTGCACAATTTCTGCACGCGCACTGTGGCACTTTGACGACGTTTCGTTGGCTTGGTTATAATTGGCCAGCACTGATTTAAGATAAGACCACTTTAATTGTATTTATAAAGCATAAAATGTAGTGTATTCTTGATCGACGTATACATATATAAATATAAAGTTGGTTGGTTGATTGAGCTCAAATTTTGACACGATAAACAAACCCCTTCAAAGATTGATATATTTTGCGCCTCAGTCTTGCATTAACCAATCTATTCATATAAGCAATATATTTGTTCTACCATTGCCTTGCCTTCTTATCTACTTTTCCTTTCCAATATATTACCACTTTTCCCATCTAGTATCTAAAGTGCAAGGTTGACATCAATAGGCTTGCCTCCTTGACTAAAAATCCAGAGTATACTAATATTATAAATGCGTGTGTCTGTCTGACTGTTGCCTCTTTATGCTTAAACCACTGAACTGATTTAGATAAAATTTGGTATAGAGATAGTTTGAGTCCCGGGCAAGGACATAGTATAGTTTTTATCCCGGAAATCATCCTTTAAGGGACGAAAAGGGGGGGTTTAAGTTTGTATGGGGAATTAATAACCGCTCAACCGATTTAGATTTTGGGTATGGAGATGGTTTGAGTTGAAGGGAAGGACATAGGACAGTTTTTACCGCGAAAACCGTCATACACGCGGGCAAAATCTAGTGATTAAATAATTGCAAAATGTGGGTGTCTAATACGTCTCTGCTTACTCAATCAGGAATATAGGCATGAGTGGACATGCGTATGTGTATATTATATCTTGGAATCAGTTATCAGATCGCTACAGCGATTACGATTGACTTGATAGGTTGCCAACTAGGAACTTTCAGTGGTATAAAAAAAAATACAGTCTAATTGATAACCTCCTCCTTTTTTTAAGTCGGTTAAAAACACTGACTGAAGATACAAAAAAAAAACATTTAAATTATTTTCAATAATTTCAGGTAAAGTGCTGCCTGGAGTTGCTGCGTTATCTGATGCGTAAATAACGATGTAACAGAACTAATAAGTATTTACACAATTTCACTAATGGTACGAAAAATGAAAGAAAATGTGAAAAGAGATGTCTAAAGAAGGTTTAGTGTTAAAGAGATCATAGCCAACTTTCACATTTAAAAAAAGTTAAATTACACGTAAAAATTGGGCTGCTAATCGCGTACAACTTAACTTTTTTGAAATTGAAAAAAAATCGGCTTAAATGTTGCAATTGATGTAAATACTGTTAGTTTTACCTACAAAAATACTTTATATTGAATTTAAATTGTTATATTGTATAATCTTAATTCGCAACTGAAATCATTATTTTGTAGGTTTGAAATTATAATTTGTAAGTGAGAAAGATATGTGCAATTTTAAGCGTAAAACAATTATGAAGCATAAATTATATTGATAGTAATTATTTACTAAAAATAAAATAAATGTCTTTTTTTTTTACATTTGTTGTCCTTTATTTTAACAATAAATATTACCATTTAATGAGAATGATATAATTAAAAAAATATTGTTTGGGAGAGCCGTACTTCAGCACATTGGGCCGGCTCGGAACGAGTGGTAGGACGGCCTCACAGAAAACGGGTCTTAACAATCTTAATTTTCACCGACTGACTGTGGTTCCTGGAGACCGAATTGAACCCCACATCACATCATCAACACACATCAACAGCCTTTAATAGTCCACTGCTGGACATTGGCCTCTCCTTAGAAAGGAGGTTTTGGCCTACTATACCGAGCATGCCAGACGGGTTAGTCAAGTTTTCCTTCTGTTTGTAGTGTTGTCATTTTTGCAACTAAAGCCTAACCAGTCACAAATGGGACAAACAAAAGTCACTTCGTCAGCTTTGTTTAAACATTTGAGATAACCCCAATTAGTACACATGGTAAATTGTATCTGCTACTGTACTTTGCTAACCTGCTATATTTTTATTTTATTTTTTAAAATTTGATTATACAAAAAATAAAGTCACTTCCATATTTATATTTATGTATTGTTATTTAGAAACTAATAGCTTTGCGGATTTGGAGTCTTAAATTTGAAAGGGTAAGTGATAGAATAACTGATTTTTCTAGAGTATAACACCGTTTATATTTACTACTTACTCTCGACGGGTTCGTTGGTCTAGTGGTTAGCGATCCTGCCTGCTAAGCCCAGGTCATGGGTTTGATTGCCGCCCAGGACAAATGAGTATGCTTATCAGCAGTCTTGTTACCAAAGAACAGGCTCTGCAAATTTGGAATCAGACGGCCGCGTGTGGAAACTGTTAGAAAAATAAATTCTTATAAATCAAAGGTAACTTTATAAGTATAAACCCATTATTGAAATAAGTTTAATATACAAGATGTCATAGACGAAAAGATGTCCATTAAAATAGAAGACTAGTTTTAAACATTTATATTACTTGTCGTTTGCATGAAAGTTCAAAATTACAGCCGATTCAGATAAAATCTCTCTTATTTCTCTTAAAAACAGGTGAAATTTGTTAAATTATACATTTAAATCAAACGTGTTTCTATTTTGGAATTATTCAATCCATTATAGAGAAAATCCACTTCAAAAATTTTGCAATGTTTTTTCATGGACACACCAAAATGCCCGTAAACGTCCCTTCCCGTGGTAAACAACCAAATACTTTTTGGCCTGATGTCCTTGCCATCTTCATAGTACCTATGATATTTTAGGGTGCTTCTACACGATACATGTAGCTTGCGCATGTTCAGGCACTTGTTCAGGTTATTTGCTACACGAAAAGGAGTATGCGGGTCCAGCGACTCGAGCATGTACCAGGGCTATTAGCGTTATTGTTGCGTTTCTTCCTGTAATCCAGCTACGCACCTATAACCTTTTACTTCGTAATTGTATTAATTCGTCTAGCAGCAAATTTATTAAGTCTGATAAAATAACATTTTTAATAAGTGATTTTATCACAATTCTCGTTCGCCGAGACATTTTAATGCGGTTACTCGTTTCAGCTACATACACCGTATACAAGCGCCCTGGTAATAAATTGTTCAAATCTGAAATGAGCAAGACGCATACATGTAGCACGAAATTGATTCCAACTCGTATTTAAGTTTATTCTTAGTTCTCTGATGCGTCTATCTTAACAAGGATTTTAGGCGATCCAATCGTAGTCTATGGAGGCATGTCAAAGGTTGTGTAAATCTTTAAGATGCTCTGAAAGCCAACATACTCAATTTTTAAGAAGTAGCATAATACAATCTGTATATGAAATTTAAATTTTGTCTGTACGAATAGCGTAGTGGTTTAAGCGGTCACCGCGCCGCTTCCTACTGCGTCGAGTGTTGTACCCCCGTAGTGTGAGACGGCTACACTTCATTTCACTTAAACTGCCTCATCATACATAAAATGTGATATAAGGGTGACGTGCCTTTCGGTGTCAGTTGCGAAGCTCTTTTTCGCCCACGATATTACGGGAGTCAAAGTGAATTAGAAAGCCTCCTATAACTCAATCATAAACCTATAAAGATCTGATGTAGTCACAATGTGGTATAAATATATTTACTGAAAACGGTAAAGTTAAAAAGTTCTTAATGTATTTTTATATAGCTTCTTGGGAGGGAGCGATTAGTTCCCGGAGCACGTTGTAGAGGATGACTCAAGACCACACGGACAGATGTGTTGCGGAGAGATATGAAGGCATGCAATATTTCGGAGGACGATGTCAGGGACGGCGAAATGAAAGAAGTACACCCCCACCACCAAATGGGACGAATAGTCAGGAAGAGATAGAGGGAGGGAGCGATGGGATTGATGTGCATTAAGTAAAATAGATCTTCATTCTGCTGTAACTTAATATTCTGTTATGATCTGCAGCGAGGCAAAGCTATTGTAACAACACTCAATAATCTGACCACTAGAATCGGGAACTATTCAGGGATAACTCTTGCGCCGAGCGTTTAAAATCCTTCTTTTTTAAGTTACGTTAAAGTACTTAAAGTATTTTAGCAATTAATTACCTGTTTTAAATACAACGATACGACGCGCTCTCTTGCATGGTAGTCCACGCAATAAGAGCGAGTAGCGTAATGTGACTTTTGTATTCTGAAGCCCTCACAGTACAAAAGTCATTCAAATAAATATTTTTCTACTCAAGTTGTTGCGCGAGTGCGCGAGGCTCCGGGCGGTTGACCTGCTCGCCACCCCCAAAGGCCGCCCCTGCCTTCCTTTTAACCCTACGGAGAGGAAACCCATTTAACTCCCTTCGAAAGTTAAATTAATTATATCTAGTTATTTTATTTTTATCAATCAATCTATCAGTTCAGTTCTATCAGTTATCTACCGGTCTATATTTCTTTGTATATTAGTAATTTAGTCTAAACTTTGAGGACGAGGGTCATTGTTATAAACGTTGATAAAATTACACATTTTTTTTTTTTTTAAACTAGTTAAATAAATTTAAACTTAGTATAAATGTACTATGGTATTTAATTATTACTACGGGCATAAACGTCATTTATACTCATGTATTGCATGCCTTTTAATTGCCTGAAGTTTCGACCAGGTCATAGTAGCCATGTATCACATGTAGTTCAGCGGTGCACGCTACTCGCACCCGAACATTTTTGATACTTTTGAAATATTTGGTTCTTCCTGTACAATCATATAATATATTAACCCTGTTCCTATTTTGTAAACCAACCGATGAATTTCTATTTTGTTGCATATAAGGTAAGGTGGCAAAGTTTTATCACTGGAGTGCACGCTGTAGATATTTTAAAACTATCTTTCAAAAGACTGAAGATTTAATAAATATCGACTCCCGCTAACACGAAGTTTTGGTTACATAAAAATCTTCCTTTTATTAAATGTCACACACATGGTCTCAGAATAATAATATTTCAGCACAAGGGATCTAGTTCGTGGTGAATTTCATAAATAATCATTACATCGTTTTATGAGATATTTTAATCAAATAAAATGTGACTACCTTCAAAGACTTCTTAAAAAAAGTCATTTTAACCCATATAATAAAGTTGGAATATAAAAAAGTTGGTATAGTTGTGCGGTTACTCTGAAAAGAATAATGAAGTAATAAATTATAGAAGCAAGTCACTTTTTACGGTCCATTACGCGCCATTAGCTTAGGATTCAATTCTCTATTCAAATAATAATTTCAATGGATAATGTGCCTTTGATTCAAGTCCACTTTACTGGTCTTTATTGAACCCAATTTGGTTTTCATAGTCAGTGCAACTTTTAATACTTAGTAAAGATACGATTATTACTAGCATAAGTTTCAGTGATATCGCCTCGTAGATACATGTGATAATTTAGATTCACCTTTTCTGTAACCCTTTTTTTCGATTCAAACCTATTGCAGAGTCGAATAGCGTGCCTTTATCGTAATCCAAAGTCCTCTCAGATCACGCTCTTCTATCAAACCATGTGTTGTCGACGCAAGGCTACGCTACGTAACGCTACGAAACTCGTAGCACTATCACACTCTTAGGAATGACTGAATGAAAACTCTTGAACTCTTTTTAATGACACAGGGAGTAAACGAGCAGAGGAATCATCGGAGGACCAAGTGCGAGTTTATTTCACATCTACTCGATCGTCACGGTGACCGACGTTCGACGTTGCGATGGGCCCGTACTGAAAACTCCACCCATCACAACGCCAAATGCGCAATATGTCGAGAGCGAGTTGATGTGAAATAAACTCGCACTTGGGCCTCTAAAATAAACTTACACTATACCACCATACCACTGATAAAAAGTAACTACCGCACCCATGATCATTGATTATAGTTACCAGTTGTACTTCGCTGATGTTCTGCATTATTGTTACGAGCCAGTCCTGAGAAAAAATCCTACTTTCAGTTTTTGAGATTTGCTCTTTAAGGTTTTACATCAAAACACTTTTCCAAAGCGAGTATACTTAGGGTATACTTAATGTATAAAATCTGCAAGTAAAATCAAATAAGAAGTGGTTTATTTTTACTAGGAGTACTTTTTTTTTTACTA